AACAATGATCAACTCTAGCTAATTCAAATTGACGATTGCTGAATGTAACTTTTGTTGGTGAGAAGCAAGTGAATCGCTAAGCAGGAGGTTATCTTCTCTGATCTTCTCACAAAACCACTTCTCCTAGTTGCTTAATCGCTCCTAATGCGACTACTTTTTTTGAATTTCCATTGGGTTTGAATGAGTTTTGATCAGCAAAATAAATCAATGAATTAATCCATTGATTCATTCACTTTGCTGACGATGCACAGCAGACATTCGAAATACTTTCGAATCTGTATCGTATAGTCCGCTGATTGACCAATTGCATCATCGTAATTACGATTGATAATTGATGTGAACATTTGAGAAACGCAAGCAACATTGAGTAATTTTCAATTGTATTTCCAATCCTTATACGATGAAATGCATATTGTGGAGCTAATTTGTATACAGAGTTGATTTGGTTTCCATTCGCCCATAGAACACTATTATAATTACTATTATCATTAGTTTTTTTACTGATATTATCAACGTTATCGTATTAATTGATTTTTTTGTAAAGCGAAATACCATACCTAGGTTAATCAACATTCGAATAATTTTTGTTGTTGTGTAAACTACGCCAAATATGGATCACCGAAATAAAGCTTTTCCATCAACAGGCGAAGATATTGTAATTTCATTTCAACCAAACGGTTCTTTGACCGTTTCATCACGAATATATTTGTTTTTGTCAGTTTCTCTCGATATATGTCCACTTCATTGGTACATTCATGTATTAATGTTTCAAACGTCGAGTTGGATTAATAAGACAAATAACTTTGTGCGAAGAGATCACACGTAATGAAAATTTGGTATATATTCTTTAATACAACGAAAATCGCTCGACAAAGAGTTGTGAATAATATGTCGGTTGCGTTTGAAAATTCGAAATTAAAATTTGCGAGCCATTAAATACACTGAAAAAATTGAAGAGGGGATGGTGTTGGATACAGAAGCGGACAATGTGCGTGTTGTTGTGCGATGTCGACCGTTCAGTGAGATGGAACATGAGCAAAATCGTGGACGATCAGTGGTGCACGTCGACAGTGAGAACAACTCTGTGTCCGTTATCAACCCACTCTCACCTCAGGTAAATCATGCATATTGGTTGGAGTGATCTTCGTGGATTCTCAATTGTTCATAAATGTTATTATTATTATTGATGTGATTGTTGGTATGGTTGTTATCGTTTTATTGTCATTGTCATTCCTTGATTATGTAAATGTAAATGTTATTTGGTGATTCTTATACAG